GTAGAACATTTCTACTGATGACATTTGTCTGTTTTCTTCATATATATATATTGACAATATGACATTTGTCTGTTTTCTTCAAATATATATATAAGCTAATCTAATTCAGGCTAGACCTTGGACAATTCTCCAGCCAATCACAAGGCCTTAAACCAAAGGTTAATTAAGAATGAAGGATTACACTATAAGTACTGCACTAATAAGACTAGACAACAAAAAAAGACAAAAATGTCTTTTTCTAAATTATCGACATTATTCTGTATTGAATATCAACCATTAACATGGCCGTCCAATGAAATAAAAGCTGCAGCTGTGCCCTCCATGAGGTTGCTCTGTATTAAAAATACCCCTGGCAGGTGCTGGGGTCAAAGTTGAAGTTGGGAGTAGAGGTCAGCGGCGGTGCAGGGATCTCCTCTGTTGGCTGGTAATGTGGGTTGACAGCTTCGCTGTTGAAACAGCTGAACACGTTGTTGCCGCTGCGTTTGCAGCAGTGGTGAAGACGGTCTTTCACAGATGAGGACTCCTTGCAGAAGACCTTGAGGGACCGTGTCCACTGTAGTAAAGAAGACGGAGAGAAGGGACATGGTCGGTGTGTGCGATAACTCCAAACATGTCTCCTGGTGAAAGACTCAGACGAGCATTTTACTAAAAGCAAAGATTGTATGTAAAAACTGGGCGCAGCCGTCATTGCTGAGTGACTGTCCTGTATATAAAGTAAACTTGGGACAATTCTGATGGAAACAAACCCATTTGAAATTTAAAAAATAGCCCAAAAAAAGAAGACCAAACAGAGTCAAAAAGTTCTAAGACAAATATTTTAACACCTAAAGCGTGTTTCATCTCTCAGGCGACCACAGCAGCGTTGACCAGTTTTTTCATTGGGTCTGTGGTAAACAATGTGCCGTGTTACATCTCTGTGGAACAGGTCAACAAACAGTTCTTAGGTGTTTTAGGCTCCTCTAGTACTCATCAAAACACGTCCCTGTCGTACTCCCTGACTGAACCCACGGCACATCAACGTCCCTCAGGACACATCACGTACATTCCAGAGGCAGTGTTTTATTCTCTGACGCATTTGGGGCAGGTATCATTACATTATATTACTAGCTAACCCCGCTGTTGACATGAGGATGATAAGCTGCTCTTTTGTAATTAAGCCCAGGCAGACATGACAGAGGCTGCCGTATCTCCCCAGGGCTAATAATTGGAAATGCTCAAGGCCTTCGACACAAAAAATGCGCAATTAATCAACTCTGCAATGTGGAGAATGTTTCACATCCTTGTTCCAAATCCCCGGGGCGATGTAAACTCAGTGTTCAGGCTCCATCACAATAGACCTGGATCAAATTCAGGTTCAAGAATTAGGACTAAAAACTCTTAGAATATTAGGTAAAAAAAGTAGTGGAATAAACGTTGAAAAAAGAACAAATATGAGCAACAGGATGGATGGATGGATGGATGGATGGATGGATTAAGGAAACAAAACATCACATTTTCTTTACATACACACACACACACACACCGTAGGAAACTCATGAATTAACATCAGGTAATAATGTAAAGACTTACAGCCCGTTGGGCACAACACAGCGTCACCCCGCTGGCCCACGTCTGGTTCCGCTCACAGCACGATCTGTACCAGGACTCCACCCTGTTGACGGCTTTGGCCTGTCGCTTCAGCTGACCGTAGCCTGAGCTCGGAAAGTAGGAGTCTGGATAGTGAGGACGGCGGTCACCATACAGACAGATGTCATCTAGATTTCTGGGTGTGGGGCGGGCTAGAGGGAACTCAACGGGGTATTGCATACTCGGGGGTAAACCAAAAGATCGGGGCCTGAAACCTAGGATAGAAGGAGTTTGTTCTTTGGAAATAGAGAGGTGGGAGACATTGACAATCAAGAGGAAAACAAAACAAATATAAATTTTCATCATTTCTGACAGGTGGTTTATGAGTTGAATCTTGGTGTATATGAGGTTCAAAACTGAATGTGAACAGATTACCAAACGGATTAGGGAGATCTGGCTCATCCAGCTCTCTCTGCAGCATCACTGGCTGCTGTTCAACTGAAAGACATGAATTCATATTTAATCTTCATTAATGCCGTCGTTCTCCTTCTGCCACTTCATCACAGGTTCACACTCACATTCACACTCACATTCACACCGATGGTCAATGAAGAGTGAATAAATTGTGATTCATTTTCACAGTGGGAGGAAACCATAAAAGACCTGAACCTGAACCTGAACCCGAACCTGGACCTGAACCTGAACCTAGACCTGGACCTGGACCTGAACCTGAACCTGAACCTGGACCTGGACCTGGATCTGGGACCTGAACCTGAACGTGGACCTGAACCTGGACCTGACCTTTTGTGCAGTTATTTAAAATGATGCCTGATCCAGGACCATATCACAATAATATGGGTTGTGGGCCGGTCCTGGTACGTAGCTTCCTTCCTGTAGATCAGGGGCTAAAGTGATCTACCATATTGCCTCATAAAAAGTGAACATACTTCATATAAATATTATATGTTGGAGTACTGATCAAATACATGAAGCTCTTTGGTAGAAATGCATCAGTTCTTACCATATATGGTCGCTACTACACACTACAGAATTATTATTAGTTATTTTAATGGCTCATGATCTACCAGCACTCGCTCTGCCATCTACTGGTCGATCTCAGTCTACTTAATCAGTCTTTAAGAAACATAAACTTGTTCTTCATTTCAGATCTTTGTGGACTGTACATGTGGGCTCCATACTTTGGACCCCCTAATGACTAATGTACCGTTAGATTCCCAAAATATTATAACAATAACAATGTTCTGATTTGCTGCTCGACCAACAGTTCAAACCAAAAAAGAGACATATAAAAATGTAGGAGTAAGAATCGGTACCCATAGAACCGATGAGATCTGACAAATCCACTTCTCTCTGCATCATCAGTGAATCATCTTCTTCATCTAAAAGACACACAGACAAACGTTAGGTCCCATATCAAACCCAACAGACTGTTGAATATTCAGGACAGATAATCCTGGATCAGAAAAACACTTTTCTCCATATGTTACTGTTTTGTTTTATGTTGAGAAATACTACTTTCTACTACGACAGTACTGCGTTCTGTGTCTTCTGTGGCTGCTCTGTTGTTATTGTGAAAAAAAAAAAAAAAACAGACAAAGTTGTGTAACTATTTTTTTTCTTTCTGCGTAATCTTCAGACTGTACTGAGGCCCTCCCAGGACCAAACCTGTTTACCCTAGTTACAATCAAAACACTTTTGTTTATGGTATTGTCTTAGTGGACACCACAAATAAAAAACCACAAATAACTTGCTAAAAAAAGAATTGTTTGTGTGCTAGAAAAAAAATACATTAAAATAAAAAATAGATAAAAGATCAACTATAACTTTTTGGGATTTGAATGAATAAATAAACGTTTTTCTCATCATTATTTCAAACAATAATTGATAAAATTATGCATCAAAAACTACATTTTATGTCTAAAAGACTTGGGGACTACAAACGTATTTACATTTAAAGACTCATTGCAGTGATCCCCCCAGTCCCACAAATGCCAGACGTACCAACAGTGGTACACGCACCGCCTGTTAAGAACCGCTGATTTAGATTTTATTCAGATTATATAACGCTGATCCGGTAGAAACACGTCCCTAAAAATAAAGTGTTTTAGTTTGTTTACAGACGACAGAGCTGCAGAGACTGAGCTAAATCACACTGGGCTCCGGTGGCCAAGGGGTAAACGCAACAAGTTCTGGAACTAAAAGGACCAACAGCGAGCACCAGTACTCACCAGGAGTGGACGCCGAACCCAGTAGAACCAGAACCACCAGGGTGGAGGAGAACAGGAGCCACGAGGAGGTCATGGCCGGCTGACTTGTTGTCGTTCGTCCTGAGGAGACTGAAGTACGTGTCCTGCTCCTGCTGCTGCTCCTGGATCAGTGCAGCTGTGGAGGAGCACAGGAGGCAGAGGCCGCCCTACAACAGTCCCTGAAGGAGAGCTGTGTTCAGACAAGCCCGACAATTGGTCCAGCAGGAGAAACCCCCCGTTCCACACTCAGCAGGGAGGGAGGGTGAGGAGAGCGGGACGTTTTTACCATGACTCACTGCTGCTCTGCTCAGGAACACAGTCACACGGTCGTGTTTGTTGATTTCCTCAAAAAAGTCAGGAGCCGTTACCGTCGACGGTTTTCTCCAGTGGCGGTTCTAGACGAAGCGCCAAGGGGGGGCGGTGGGGTTTGGGGGCAATAGCAGTGCAAACGCAGTGATTTAATCACTGTTCCAGAACAATAAGAAGAGTAGGAGCATTTAATATGTTTTTTTTTTTCTATTTGCAAGACTGTTATTATTCTCAAACACATACTGCATGTTTGAATATACATGGGGTTAAACATTGGCAGAGTGATGCTACTGCAGACATATATATATACTCATATATATATATATATTATTATATATTCATATATGTATATTGATATACATATATACCCATATATACATACACATATAGTGAAATATGTATGAAATAAAATAGTCTGTGTGTACATAAATTGGTTGCTAGTTTAAACCCCATAACCAGTATTGGATTGAAAAAAAAAAAAACACACTAACCTGAACTCACTCAATATGTGTTATTTTATGTTCAGACAAAGAAACAGCTGGAACGCTGTGTTGAGACTTTCTGCCTCAGTGAAGTGTCACTTCTGTGTATCTGGTACTGTTCTGTTTAGATAATAATAATTTTAAAAAATATTATCTCCCACTGAGACCAAAGTCCTACTCCTCTATGTTCTGGAATCTGGTCCCTGACCTTGGAGGTCCTCCAAACTGTCTCCTCTTACATGTGTTGTTGGAGAATTTTTCTACAGTTAACTTTCTTCTTCTCTGCTGCCCGCAGCTCTTTCACATCATAGAGATAAAATCTCAGTATTAGAGTTTAGATGTTGTCGTTGTTGTTGTCATTACTGCTGGTCATCATGGTCCTGAGAGAACAGAGTCCGGAAACTGGTAAAAGAAATCATATGTCCCGGGGGGAAATTCCTCAGTGAAGCCAAAAACAAAGGAGCAACAAGAAAACTAACAGAGGCCAGAAGAAACTGCAAAATACTCCACAGGGAGTAAATGTTTGAATTTTTTAAAATCCTAATAAAAATTTGAATGTGGTGTTTTTATCAGTGCTTTACCACGGAGACCAGTTGAATTTGTTTTTATAATAACATCATACACACAGTTCCTAAGAAAACACAGAAAGTTCTGAAAAATTTAATATGGAAAAAAACTTTTCTTTTTCTCCCACTTTTGTCTTGAAACTGAACTCAGTATCAGATCCAGGTTTGTTTTGTTCTTCGACGTGGAAAAACTTACTGCAATAATGAGTGCTGAAGCAGTTGGACAAAATTACAGACCACAAAATGTTTTGTACCCAACAACAGAATACTTATGATTCTTGCGATACTAATGATCGCTTTGATTACAACTATTCAACCAAACCTACAATTGAGAAACGTGACGACTTCCTCAACATCTGACTCTGTACTGTACGCCTGAGTGAGTTGATGAGGAAGTTCAGACAACATGTCAGCCTGTTTATCGCCGTCCTCTGCTGTTTTTCAGGAATTATCATCACCCTCCTCTGACTCACCGCCTTGGCTTCCTCTCTTCATGCTCACAACAGGTTTTCTCCATAACAACTTAATGACAACTTTCTTCACAGCTTATGAGTTTCCCTCACAGTCACCCCAAGTGACTAATGCTATCACCGTGGTAAATGCTGGGATTGCAGCTTCAGCTGCCGGTACATCTGTCTCTGTGTTAGCCTGCTGAGTAAACTGGGTAAAAAAAAAATAGTCATGAGTCACATGTAGACACCAGTTTTAGTCAGCTGATTCATCTTCAAATACATTTAACCTGGATACCGCGGCACATGTAGGTGTTTTTGTCTCTGTAGCCTAGTTATAGCTTAATTTCAACACTAGCTTTCAGCTAATCATCAATGAACAGGGAAACTGAGTAGAAGTGATGTGAAAGGAGTATAGAAAGAAAGTGTTGACTGGACAATGAGTCTGTACCAGTGGTCACACCTGGTCTGTAAAACAGGGGAGGCTAATTTTAGCGAAACAGGACAAGGGGTTCAGACCAGGCCCAGGTGTTGGTTTGCTGACGTGAGATGTTGGACGTTGGAAGGGTGTTGGAGATGGAGCTACACCACGAAGAAGGTGAAGAGAAGAAGAAGAAGAAGAGAGAAGTCACAGAGAGGACACAGAGAGGACACAGAGAGGACACAGAGCACTCTACACCAGTGTCTCTCAACCTTTTTTTTGCTACGACACACCGCTAACAAACTGTCACATAAAGTATATGGAATGAAACATAACGAACGGAAGAACATTATAAGTTTCAATTCACTTAGTTCACTTAGTCGACGTGTTTAGTTGAACAAAATGCTGATATAACCGCAGGAATTGAAGAAACACACAGAGAGTATTTAACTGCTCTGCCTGTCACTGTAAAAAGTTTTTAACACTAATTTCCGACCGATAATTTTCCACCGTACGCCTGATGATCAGGCTATTTGGTTAGGAATCACTTCTCCAAACTTCTATTTTTTTCGGTAAAGAAATGAGGTGTCCAGTCACACAAAGGAAGTTTGCACAAGTGCTTGATTTCACAGCCTCAGCAGTTTATTTAAAGATTTCCAGAAAGAAAAATTAACTTCAGTTTAATCTCAGTTGTACACATACAGTACTTAATGATGAAACTTCGTATCGCTCCCACTTTATGCCTCTCTCCCTGCCGTACGCAGAGAACATACTAAGAAAATATAAGCCGTGCAGTTCATCTGCTAAAATACCACAGTGTGCGCACAGAATAAGCTACGTCTACGGTATTCATAATATATTTAAAGCCTTAAAAGTACAAGAGTTTATCAATATTAATAGAGGTTAAAAAAATACTCTTCTGTTTTGTAGTATTCACAAATCAGTGTGTGAATAAAACACACACGCACAAGCAGTGATTAAACCGGAACACTGGATTAAGAATAAAAATAACATACGAGTAGAAAAAAATTATAACTACGCAAATGTAACCATCGTGGGACGAACAGATGTGTTTTTCCAGTTTGATCCAGACCAATGAACACACTGATGAAAATGATACGTCTGGTGACAAGATGTTTGGTATTAACTCAGGGGGAAAAACCTTGGCTGCAGCCACTCTGATACTTCCAGTCACTACGTGTAAACAGTCTGAGTCCAAACTGACTGGACAGACTTTTCCAACTCTTTCTGACCTCTGAGGTAGAAACGAAGGGACAACAACATGCTGCGACAGTCGCCTGCGTTTAGAAAGTCCTGCAGGTGTGTGAACACCTCCCTCTGCTGGTGGCCGTCACAGATTAAAAAAAGACGATGCAGAATCTTTGTTTACGAATGGACAGCGTCCAACAACAGCTGTTGAGCTTCTCTTCTTTAAACACTAACGTCAGCGGTGCTGTTAAGGCTGATGTCACGTGACTCTTTTTGTCTCTGTTTACACTGTTGTGATTGGACTAAGCAGTCTTTATGTCTGGACTTTTGTATTTTTTTTTACGTTTTTTACGTTAATGGTTTTACTGAAAAAATAGAACAGAATAGAAGAGTCTGAGAAAAAAAAATCTCAACAGCAGTGAAGAAAAAACAGAACACATCAGCAGTAGGATATTAAGCCATAAAAATATTAAAACGTACTGTTTAAAATAATCTACGTAAATAAATGTTTTGTTGTGAGTCTCGTACAACTTAAAGCATCATAAGTACTGTGATTTTTTGTCTCTGTTGCTTTTAAAAAATAAATTCTGTCAGAAATGTGAAAAAAAAAAACATTACGAGTATATGTGTGTTACTGGTTTAGATATACTCGTGGGGATCTTTTTTTTATTTTTTTAATTAAATTATTGAAAATTGAAATTCTGGTCTTTAGGGTAAATTTAACAAGTCTCCACTGAGTGAGAAAATATTTCTTTGAGGTTGAAGATTTAGTTTGAAGATTTGGGCCAAGAGCCTAGGAAATAAAAAACATGTATTGTGTGTGTGTGTGGGTGAGTGTGTGTGTGTGTGTGTGTGAGAGTGAGTGGTCAATGAGTGGTCCCCGGCAGCAGCTCAGCCTCAGAGGTGAACAGCTCCCTGTACAGTGGTGGAAACAGTGTGTGAGCAGTGTGAGGATAACATTGACTGAACCAGCGCAGTTTCTCCATGTGAAGACTGCAAAGTGAACGCAACACTGCCATCTTCTGGTAGAGCTGCAGAAGAAGAGGAAAAAGACATCAAGACATCATTAAACACATAAAGACCACGTTGATGACACGACGTCGTCCTCTTGTCTGTCCACTGTCGGTCTGACTCTCTGTCTCCGTGTCCGTTCTGTCCCTGTACCTTGTGCAGGAGGGCGTCTTGGTTGTCTCTGTGTAGAATGTGTGAGAGTCCCAGCAGCACTCTCCTCTGCACCATCTGAACCCGGCTTCTGTCCTCCAGACAAGGGCGATCTACACAGAAAGACAGGAAAATAAAACCCACTAAACATTGTTATACAAAAGGTTAAAGAAAAATTTAAAAAATGTTAAAAAAAATATTAAAATAATATTAATAAAAAATATAATAAAGTGGTCAAAATCGAATAAAACTAAACTAATAAAAACCATATTACATATTTAAGATACAGGAAAAGTTGCATTATTGAAACATTTAAATCTTTCCAGTCCCTACAACTGACCACTAAACAAACAAATCAAACAAATAAATGGAATGAATATTAAATATATATATATAAATAAGTGAATGAAAAAAAATGCACAAATTAAACAATTAATAGAATATTTAATAAATGATAAAAATGAATAGAAAAACAAATGGATGGATAAATAAATTACTGAATTATTGAACAATTTAAATAATAATATTAAAAAAAAAAATAATGAATGCATAGTAAATAAAAAACATTGTCAAATTAAATAAATAATGAAACACTCAATCCATCATCAGTGAAGTGATACCTGTGTTGATCAGCACCACTGCACTGAAGAGGGCGATCTGCTCCTCCGTCAGCTTCAGCGTACACAGGTCGTGGGCAAATTCAAAGACTGCGGTGATCAGATCACCACAGGCTGTGAGAGAGGAAACCAATCAGAGCACGAAAAAAAAACAAAAAAAACAAACAGTTCAACCAACAGGATCACTGCGTTGACTTTCTACCCAGAGACTTGAAGACTTCTATTCCGGCAAACTTCCCGTCGAAGAAGACCGTGTTGTTGTCTGTGTTGAAGAAGCGACTCATCCGGACCAGGACCACCTCCATGGAGCCTGTGAGACAGAAGACAGTCAACTGACAGAAGACACTCTCGTCTTCTTGTCGCCGGCAGGAATCCTCACCCGTCTTGAGCAGGGCGATCTGGTCGTTCTGGCTGAGAATGCGGAAACCTGGGATGCGTTTTGCAAACTCCACCACGTACTGCACGGCATCCGTCAGTCGTCTGGCACAGTGCTGCCACATCTCATCCTCTGACTGAGGGAAGAAGAGGATCAGATTTATTAGATATGTTGCTCATAAGGTCCAGTTTCCCTGTACCAATAACAGACAGACAATCGAGACATTTTTTCTAAATAACAGTCACACAAACGTAGCCCCCGTGGACTATGAAAGGAGACCGTGTATGTTCTAAAAATAAAACTAGTTAATAAGAGGGTAGAAAATTGGAATTAATTGCGTTCTTTTTTTAATCAATTACCCTTGAGGTGTGATGAGGTCAATGTAGCTATGATGGTGGGAAGGTGTCTGATTCTAGTGTGTTCCGTTATGACTACATAATTCACAAAGTGTGTATCAAACAAGTAGCTCTACGTATCACTCAGTACCCTTGAAGTAGCGCTCAGTTTTAAAAAGGTTAGAAGCCCCTGCCCTAGGGGTATGTGAAGGTACTGCAGAGGAGGTTGTAAAATTTGAGACTTTTTTCTTTTACATATATGTATCTTGCATGTGTTTATAATATAAATATAGTTAAGTCAAACAGTAAAGTCAATAATCTTATACTAATGTACCTTGCTGTGATAGGCCTGGATCTCCTCTCTGCTGAACAGCTTCCATCTCAGAGTCAGAAGCTCCTCCACTCTGTACTCACTGGTCTCCTGATGGGAACGCACGATGCTGGCGCAGAACTCATCTGGAAGAAAATGAATGAAGGGAATGCAAAAAGTAAAATCTGTGAAAGTGATAGAAAAAAAAAGTTTTTCATTGAGGCACTAATGTAAAAGTGATAGAAAAAAAAGTTTTTCATTGATTGACATCTTTTTAAAGGCACTAATGTAATTAACAAATGTGGAATTTATGGGACGGCTGCAGTCCAACAAATCAATCAAATAAAATCGATGTTGAATGGAGTCAATGGTAATTCGACTCATGGTGTTTGCTCTGTTTTTTTTTTTTTACATCTGCCTGTGATGTCACAGAAGGAAGAAAACAATAACTGATGACGGAGACAGTTTTGTTCATCCATATCAGCATGAGTGGGCCACATCAAGGACCATTCACGCTCACATTCACACCTACGGTGAACTAAGAGTGAACTGTCAACCAAATCCTGTATGTTTTCAGACAATAGATCTGTCTGATCTTTGCTTAAAAGAACACATGAGTCGGCTGTGCAGTCGGCGGTACGGTCGGTGCACCTGTGCTTCGCAGAGAGTGAGGATAAATGCTGGCGGAGTTGTCCGGAGACCTGTTGGGATGAATCGTCATCAAATCAAGGGTTGGCTGTCTGGCTTCAAATACTGACGAGGAAAAAAAAATGAGAAGAACAGATGATTCACCAGGAGGTAAATATAGAAAGCGTAAGTACAGCAGAGTTCAGTCTCACCTCTGGTGTCATAAATGAGGTAAGGAACGTCGACGGCCGGGTAGGTCAGCAGCTCAGTCTCACTGCTGAAGGTGAAGGCCGGCGCCATGGGCTGGAGGAGATTGTGGGAGTGCTCCGGTCTGACTTTGTTGGTGAAGACCGACTGGACCTCACCCTGCAGCTGCTGCTGTTGCTGCATCTGTCGGTGCTTCTCCACCTCGGCGTTCAGAGAATCCCGCTGACGTTTGGACATGCGTCCGAACTTAACTGCTAAAGAAGAGTTTAAAATAAAAATGTTAAAAAATAAATAAAAAATGCGCACATCTCTTTGTGTATCAGCGCTTCTGTTCTCTACCATCTCTGCTCATGCCCTGGGCCAGGCACTTCTTCAGGCGGCAGTGTTGGCAGCGGTTGCGACTGGCCCGGTCGATTTGACAGTTGCTCTGCCTGGAGCAGGAGTAGGACACGGTGGGCTGCTGGCTGCGTCGGAAAAATCCCTGATGTGTGGACAACACAAAGATGACAGTGAGTAGAAGTGAAAAAAAAAAGTTCATATTTTAACACCTACTTGGAATCACAGTAACGAAGGGGAGAACTGCGTGGGTCACACATGGCAATAAGTTGCTCTTAAAGTAAAAAGAGGCTGCAATTTATTCCGACGTGTTTGTCAGCTCTGATGGCTCCAAATTTTGCTTTGCTGTCACTGCGTATTAGTGCACATATATTCCACAGTGGGAAACATGAATGACCTTATATTGGCCTCATTTATATGGACAGTTGAAAAGGTTATTTCAGTGAATTAAACATTAACCACATCATCGACCACTCTCTCTCTCTCTCTCTCTCTCTCTCTCTCTCTCTCCGCACCTTACAGCCTTCACAAGTGATGACTCCATAATGCACTCCAGAGGATTTGTCACCACAAATCTTGCACGGGATAACTTCAATCTGGGCTGAAACACAAAAAAACAAAAAAAAAAACAAAAGTGAAGTTTGTTATGGAAAATTATTATTTTTTCTCACACAGTAACAGAACAAACAACAGCTCGAGACACTGAATCAGTGGTTCTCAAACTGTGTTGTATGTACTCATGATATGTACTCAAGCTTATTTAATGCACTGTGTAGTCGAAGGCAATGTAGAACTATAGAGCCCCCATGGGGTTGCGGAGGTACTGCACGAGGTGTGTGATTTCTTTTTTGTTTGATTCAATTTTGCTCTTATATTTTGCACAAATCTTGAATATAAGTGAAGGCAATATTGAACTATAAACCAGTTAGACTGAAGCGCCCCCCTGTGGAGTTGCAGAGTATCACAGGGGGTTGTAAATTATTTTGATTGATTAGACAATTGAATCCTGCTTTTATATTTTGAACAGGTCTAACATGAAATTATCTGACAGCCTTGGGCTCGTGACCTGAGGCTGATGTTTAAGAATGAAGCTGGAGAGTGATTCCTGCTATGTGAACTAACACACTCTGCTGCTGTACTTCCCCCTTCGACCTTTGATCCATCAATGTGTGAACCAAAGGTGGTTTCCTCTTTAAAAAACCCTGTGCCTTTATTGGTTCGGAAGAAAACAACATTAAATAAGAAGAGGGCCGTGTCTCAAGAAGACGTGGAATATTTGCAAATGGAGAAAAATGGAGAATGTGAAGGTGTCAACCTCAGAGTCCTTTCAAGTGGTTGACTGGCTTCTCTCTCACTCTGACTGTCCCTCTTTCATGTCGTTTCTGTCTTGTCTTGTGAATCCTTCTCTGTCTCGCTCATAAAGGACATTGCTGCCAGTAATGTTTTTTTCTTCATCACTGCCAGTAATGGCCATCCCCCTCTCACCTCCCCCAGCCCTCGACCATGTTCATTGTAAAAAATTTCTCACGCCCCTCTATCGTTTTGGCTAGCGGTGATTTTTTGTCACCACTTTCAGGGTGAAATAACTGTTGTTTGTGGTGAAAGGTGTGAAAAAGAAGGTTTATGACAAACCCTGAAAAAAACATCATCAAAGAAAAGTGTGCGTCAGATATAATTCAGAAAGGATTCTACAGAGTCTTTATGTCATTTTTCCTTTTAAGAGTTCCTGTCATTCACTCTGTTCTTTCTACAGATGTGCTGATCGACAGTTACAAAGCCCTGCACATCTCGTTTTTGCTTCCGTGCAAAAACTGTGTCAGATTAATTCACGAGTCTGTGTTAGTGTGTCAGTACGTGCCCCGGTTGTCTGGTGCCAAGGATCGCACGCAGGCTCCTGAAGAGGTCACTCGGTCAGTGGTACAGTGGATTCCAACGACTCACACAAATAACAACAATTACTGCAGATACCTGTTGACGTTCTGCTGCTACCTCAGCTCAGAGGACCCAGTGACCTCAAGATTCACCGTGATAGGGAGGAAAGAGTTTCGTATGATATCTTTTCTGTTTTCTGATTCACTAGAAATAATTCTGCTGTGAACAAAATATCCGAGAACACTGGTGGTCACCGCACCTCAACCTGTTTGCTATAGTGATTGTCAACCTCAAACTACAGGAAATCCACAGTGACCCGCAACCTTTCACTGTTGTCTCTCTCTCACTGTCTCACACACACACACACAAACACACCTCTGTACCTTCTCCGGCAACAGGTTTGAATCAACATTTGTTTAAAATAGCAGCAGACCACAGTGTCAGAAAAGACACATTCTTAAAATATCATCAAAATAAAATAATAAAGGTATTTTATCCAGTTTGATAATTTAACTTTGAATGAAGGCATGACGTCAAGTGAAGTGTTTGTCCCTGGTCTATAAATTCTATTTTAATCAAACATAAAATACTGAAATAATTCCAGCCACAAGTAAAGTCAGGGCAGAGGTGAAACCACCACTAACGTGTGTGACAAAGAAAACCACCGAGCACCAGTGGTCACTGCAGTCCATAAATACACAAAGGGCAACTGGAATAAACACATTTACCCATATTGGTTTTTTTTTGGTTTATAAATATTCATGAAATAAACTGAGAATTTACTTTAAAATTTGATGCTGCTGGAGTGAACTTTAAGAAAACAGAGGCTCAAAAGTGAGACAACTACAGGTCCACTGACAGAGAAAAGAGAGAAATTTAAATAACTTAGTTCTCATTAACGAGTGCGACTGTAAGTTTGATGCACATCCTCACAATAACGTGAAAAGACGGAGACTGATGACGGATGCAGTGTGTTGTTATTGCAGTACAACTGACGTAACATCAGCACTTTGAAGTAGTTGACCCATTTGACTGACTTGAGTTTTTTATCTATTAGGTGCTACGTGATGTTAAAGGGAAGCGGTTTCGGTGTTCTTTATGCAATGATGGAAATATGTGAAATGTTTGTAAATGGAAATAAACCACCTCCCACAGCTCAACTTCAAGATGCCACCGCACAGGCTTTGACTTGTGCCTCGTAAACCAGTTTATAAAGGTCAGTCGTGCACGAAAGGAAATATTCCTCATCCTTGATCGCTAAAGTTAGCCTGATTTTGAGAAACAATGAGAAAAAAATCACCTTGGGTGTCACCAAATTTAAACCCTGTGGTCTTTTTTCCGTCTGGACACTAAAGATGTATGGTGGTGCATCAGATAAAGTGATGCTGCCCCTAGTGGAGGGCTAGGATCAGCCTTAACTAATTTTGTAAAAAATTATTTTAGGTTAAAGAATCCAAGAACTGCTTATCTGGGTTTTTTTTTTTAAAACATTACAAAGCTTGTTGTCAAAGTGAGGGGTGTACAGCTTCACAGCTCAGCACTGGTCATCCACTGGTCCTCATTGGTAAATGTATGTACTGTTTGGGTGAAAGAGGAGTAAAGTGAGTGATAGATTGACATTCACACAAACAGTTCTCTGGACCCATGGACCAGCAGCCCCTGCTTGGTGAAAACAAGGCCAACGAGCTACATCCATGACTTTACGATAACTTTCCCTGCATTTCTACTCTGCTCCTTAACATGAGGACAACATCACCCAATCACCTCCTCACGTAGCTTAAGCCGCACTCACGGCTTAAGGGGGAGTGGCAGCCAATCACAGCAGACTTTAGTAGACGGTGTTCACCAGTCCATCACCTACAGAGACACACAACCATTCACACTAACCATCCTTTTACTGTATGGCCCCACACCATCAACTATCTGGCTGAAATATATCAAATATATCTAACCTTAAATTTTACCTACGAAGAACTTCTAGATGTTAGGAACGCATCATTTAGATTTAATTCGGATAAAAGACAATCTTCGTAAAGTTAGATTTTTTTTTTATTTTTACTTTTGGATTTATTTGTGTGTGGGGGTCAGGTGTTTGTGTTGCATGTTGTATGTGTGTTCACACTGGGGCATCTGGGAGGTTGGACCACACAGTGTCACTGAACTCCTCCGCCTGCGACTGAATTCACGGTGTCAGCAACTTGTTCTTTGCACTGTAAACGGACAAAAACCTCAACCTCCTCTGACGGAAACATACTTTTGGTGTATTTGCACGCAAGAGTACATAAACTTTGTACACACACACACAGACACACACACACACTGACAAACACATACACAAAGCTACACGTGGTGTATGTGCTATTGTTATAACAATGATGTTAGGAACACAAAAAATAAAAAGATGAACGCTTCGATTGAAGTGTACTGCAGCTTCAATCAAAATTCTTAATAAAATCATAATTTCAACAGACACACGGTTTAAACAGGAGAATATTATACATACATTTATATATATTTCATTGTAAAAATGTTTTTTTAACAAAAGGAAAATAATTCAGAATTGTGTGACCAATCACAGATAGCCGTTGTCTAAAGTTATTTTCCTGGGCTCAGCAAAAAATCTGAGGGCCCGTCTGAACGTGTGATTCTAATTTTTTAGAATGATGTGTTCAATGCCCCTGGAATATATTTACTAAAAATCTCAAATCCTAAAATAGAAATGTCCATTTAGCCTTCCGTACTACACACAAGTTTTACAAACGATATGGCGAATAAAAAAAAAAGTTGGTCTATTAAATGCCATAAAATTCAAAGGTGTCGTTGGATTAAAGATGATTAAAAATATATATATTTATTAATATGACAATGCCAGCACAAAGAGCTTAAGTTTGCAGAGGAATGGGTGAGAGATGTGAATTTGAACTGAAGAACAGAAATTGAAAAAAAAAAAAAGAGGGTTTTTGCGGGAGGGGATGTTTTGACAGTAGCAAAAGGATATGAATCAGCTCAACTGTTGATTTCATTTACCATGTTTTGAGGGGAGAGAGTGCCACCTGTCACACTGGTGTTCACTTTGATGTAATGCCAAGTGCCTTTGCTACGCTTTGGAAGTGCTGAGATATTTTCTGCACGAGGGGAACAAGGAAATCCTTTCTGATAAAGAACATCTAAAAGATTCTACGCAGGAATCTCCCCAGAAATGTCAACAGTTCGATCGAATAAATGTGTATTGATTTAGATTTGGAAAAAAATAAGATAAAACTTTTGAGTTAAAACTTGAGCTGGGGGGCGGCATTGTTCAACAGGTAACGCACAGCTGTGTGGCTTCCATATCTCTGCAACAATCTAACAAACAGCTGCAGATGCTAGATCTGTGTGTGTGTGTGTGTGTGTGTGTGTGTGTGTGCCCGTGCGCATGCACATGCAAGCTGCAGGATGAAGTGCAGCAGTAGCATCAAAAATTAGCTGCGACAACGCTGACGGCGTCAGACTTTTCAAGTTCAGACATTTGCTTTTTTTTGCTACAAAGGTAAATAAATACTTAGCTAAATGATATAAAAAATTAAATGACAAATGGCAAAAAATCTTTAAAAGGACTGAGGCTTAACCAAAAAAAGGCAGCAACGGTAATAAAGTTAGCCCAGAGATGGGCAAGAGTTACCGCTAACAATGAGAAATAGCTTAACTTAAATGGCAAAAAAAAACAAATATAACTTAGAAATAGTAATA